TGAATAATAATAATAATAAGTTTCAATAAAAATGATAAAATGTAAATTTAATTTTATCATAACAAGTTTGCTTGAATTTCGCTTCTTCTGAGATCACAGCAATGCGCGACGGGTAAGCTAGTTATATTATATTTTCAACTAACTTCAATTATTTAAATTACAAAAATAAATAAATCATAAAAAAAGTTTACACTAATCTTTAACTCCTGGAAGCATGAAAGGCATTGCCAATTACATCAGAACTTCTGAAGTAATCAATTAAAAAACCATACCATATGACATATTGTAATATATTATTAATTAACATAACTAAGCATATCTATAAACAGATACTAAACTTACCAATCATCACCGACATTGTAATGGCTAAGACTTTTCGTAAATCCCTGAATATTCTGCGGCGTCACTCTTTGTAAAAAGTCAATGTATTCGTCGGAATGAAATCTGCACATGTCGTGGACGCTGGCACGATATGGTTTGTACACCTGAAAGACACAAAGTTTTGTAATTTGATTCAGTAATTTGTTAACTTTCTAAATTTATAACTGATAAGAATAATTTGATTTTCACAATAATATATACAGGATCTTCCAAAAAGAATGCTACAGTTTTAAACTACCATGAATTATGTTAATTATTACCCAAGAAGTATTGTACATAGCATATGCTAATCGTTAGAGTAACCGTCCGAGTTTCGCCTACCATCTGCATTTGAATGTCTTTTTGTGTACTTTCTCTACGAAGTGCTGTAAACAAAAACAGCAACTCGCAACAGAAAAGGCATTTTGTATTCTGCATTCTGCAAACTCTAAATCGGTCATCACTGTACAACAAACATATTTGCCTTACACAATGGATTACTTTGAAATTGTTGGTGAATAACAATTTTAAAGTGATCCACCATGACTGATTCTGAGTTTATGGACTGCAGAATACAAAACACCTTCTCTGTTGTAGAGTCACCATTTTCATTTATGATGCTTCTTAGAAGTGATAGACAACAATATGTTTGAATACAAATGGGAGATGAAACTTGGACAGTTACTTTACCAATAGGTGTTATTCACACCAATCGATTCTGGTTATTAGCCCAGTCAGTTAGGACATGCCACATATTAGGACAAAACATTCAAGAATAAAATCAAATTCTATAACACAAGTATAATTTACTTTGCCTACTGGCCCTGAAATGTCACTTAGCAGGCCTGCTGGCAAAGTATTTTTCTTGGAAAACTAAACAAAACAGAGACACAAATTTAAATATTTTTGGCTTTTCCATATGCGACCTCCATCCATTTTACTTTATCAACTGTCAATCATGGGAAGAGAATCTTCCCATTCTCTAAAATGTACTGCAATGATGTATTTTTTTATACAGAAATAATTTCTTGTCATTAAAATGGTTTTATTGCACTCAAATGTTTGTTTTATCAATGAGAACACACGTTGACATAGTTTTTTAACATAGCTTGTTATATCGTATCGCAATTGCATAACTTATTGGGATGTTCGTTTAGTAGTCCTGCTGTTTTGTAGCCCCGAAAAGCTCTGGTCCCAATGCCATACTGTTAAGCGGAATCGACTGTATATATTTTAGCTTACCTAATATTTTTCTAAACTACTTTATTTAATACTATTAAAACAAAAATACATTTTAGTGCTTGTTGTGAGCCTGATGACTTCATTTTAAAGGTGCTTTAAGTAGTCTTCATTGACCAGTACACAGTGTTCCATAGCTAAGACATAGTCATTGAGTTGAGATAGGTACAATGCTCTTTTCATTAGAACGAGGGGTCTGCTTTTATCAGCTTTCAATAAGGTAATTTGGTTATCATGGAGTCATTTTCTGCTGTCCCTGGTATTATTCCAAAATGTTCTATCCATTCCAATGATTTGTTCTTTCTGTAGTTTCAAAAAGGTTTTCCATTTAAAAAATTTTTTATGCTCTTGTTTTACTGATATTAATAATTTCTCGATGCTAGGGATTATCTTGTCCCAGTATATAGTACAAACATACATTTTAATAGTAAACAATTTGTATCCATAATATGAATCTATGTCTACACAAAACAACAAGAAAGATAAGATTGAGATAGTGTGGACAATTGCTACATTTAGTTACAAACAGAAATTGCTACATTATCAAAATTACTAAAATAAATTTATCCTGTCTTCTAATAGAAGTTTACTTTGCAAAGAATCGCTTTATGTATGTAATATATTGGTGATCTTGACTTTAAGAACCAAATTAAAAGATTTCCAAAATAAATATGTTTGTTACAAGTCATCTTATAGAGTTGAAGTACAATACACTATCCCTTCATTATATCACTCATTTGCTTATATTACACTTCTTTTTAGTCTTCCAAATATGAGAAAGCTTTAGCCAATAATTTTAAATTGTTTGCAATCAAATTTCTACTTGTAAAGAAATATTTCCTTATACCTTAATTGCTGATCTTGAGACTACCATTGTATAATATATAACCCAGAAAAATGCAAGCTAGCAAGGGATTGAAAACACAAAACAGGTGGGTAAATAACTATATATTGCTCACTACATTTGTCTCCTGATATGTGTGATATAAGTATCTATTGTATTTGAGAATGTAAGACTGCAGCTGTTAGTATACAGAAATGTCCCACAGGCATTAAAATTATTTGTTTTCAAATCTATTAATATATCTTTAAAACTTTTAATTTTGAGTTTTAAATGCTATCAATATATTTGTAAAATGTATGTTAGAGAAATGCTACTGTAGATAAAAGCCAAGCCATTTCATTTACAGACAATAATGAAAATTCACAAAAATAATCTACTTTATTGGAGTCACAAATCAAACACAGTGGCTTTCCAAGTATTTTTGGACTGATTAAGTTTATCTTTAAGAGCATTTGTAGTAAAATTAATCAGTCCAAAAACACTTGTAAAGCTGCTATATTTCATTTGTAACTTCAATAAAATAGATTGATTTTTGTGAATATTGAATAACATTAATAGGAAAAATCAACAAAATATTTCTAGTAAACCTTGACAGAAAATATAAATTAGTACAATGTGGCCAAAAAGTTACTTACTAAATGGCGGTAATTACTATTCTTATTGTTTTGAGTACAATAATGACTTGGTACTATTCTTCACAACATTCAATACAGAACTCTTGCAGTGGTGACGAAGCCTTGAATCGTATACAACAACATATTTTGTATTTGAGTGTGTGAACAACACTGAATATAAGCGTTAATGAGTACTGTGGTCTACAACACTCCATACTCACAGTAGTTTCAAGCTGACTGTCACACAGACTACATTAAACACCACTTACAGTGTCATTTGTCTATAATTTGCAATATGTCCTCTCCCCATTTGGCAAGTGACTTTTTTGTCCATGCTGTAACTTATTTATAAATTTTATCATTTAACAAAATGTATTCAGAAAACATAACTTTAAAACAAAATTAATTCAAGCATTTTCACTTGATTTTAATTTCTACTCAATGTCATCACAAGTATATGGCTGTCAAAGCAGAACAGTCATTTTAATAAAACACAGATCAAAAAATACTTGAGATATTTAGAATAAGTCAAATTTATATGGACAAAACATTTGAGACCTTTATCATTTCAGTTTCAAATCTCAACTTTAGTCTGCCTTATAACATGGAATGAGTCAGTTTACCACAAACCCCACATTTCTTTATGCAGCTCTCGAGAAGAGCTTTACAGTGAACACACTAAAACTGGTTTCTAATTGGCCAACACTGCTCATGGCGTCATTTCACTACACTCTCGTTGCATAAAGAAATGCGGGAAAACTCACTTTGACTCACTTCTGGTTGATCTTAAGCTGAGATGATAAAGGTCTTGAAAAATATTTCATCTGGATAAAATTTCTGGCTTCCAAATCTCTCAAGTCATTTATACCATAACAGATTTTACGGCTATTTTAACCTATAAATCACATGCAATTATTTTTTCTTTTTTACAAGATCACATGCATAAGGAAGTGATTTTCCGCTAATTTTTCACATGTAATCACCCTGCACATAATTGCCATTCTTCAAACTTCACAATTTGGAAAAATCCTGCAATGTGCCTTCTCCGCACATACCAAATCTCAATGTCATACATTGCTGTTTACAAGATACTGTTTTGTTTACAGAGGAATGTCTTTGACTGGTATGGCAGAAAGAACCTTCAAACTTTGTGATAATATACAATAATGTGAAACATGTTCATCTGAAAATAAATAATGGGAAGGCTGAAATGTTTCTAAAAATGACCAGAAAATGATTTTTCTGTAATTATCAGGCATGAAATTAACCTGCAAAAACATTTAAACATTGAAGATCATAGCACCCCAGACTACCTTGCAGAGACAAGCATTCAAAGTCATAACAACCTGCAGACTGCATGTCATTACATTATAAATAACTGACAAACATCCATGATGTCATGACATGACCACTTCTTTTAGCAATCATGAGAGACCTCCATGATGTCATTTTCGACATCATCAGGTCACTGAAAATGACAACAGAGTGGCAATTTTCTGCTCTGTTGTCATTTTCAGCCGCTCTGTACAGAAAATCACCACTACCTCACGGGATTGCAGATTAATAGCCATATATTCCAAAATATACTGAAATTACTATCATCATTTGAATACTGTTGTTTAAAATATATAAAAATTATTTCTGTCAGCAATTATTCATGGTTGAGAATACAGCATTAATCCTTATCCTTTTCTACATTACCTAAATACCAGTAAGCATTTCTATGAAAATACTGTCATTAATTCTCACTATATTAATTGTATAAGCTTATATTAAATAAAAATAATAATCATGATCTCTTGACAGACTTTTTTTTAATAAATATTAATAGTTCAATCCAGAAAATCATTCATTTAAAAAAATTATATAAATTATTAAATAATAATTACCTGCATCTTTTTATAAAGTCCATAATGTAAAACTAGACTGTGTGTTACTGACAGTCTCTGTGGTTTCATGGGATGTCCCGTACCTATTTGAAGAAAAAAAATTTTTCTTAATACTTTAATTTTGCAATTTTGAGAAGAATTAAATTATTTAATTATATATTAATTTTGTTTTAATGGCAGTTTATAATGGAATGAAATACAATAGTAGAAGAAAAAGTGTGCAAGGTTTTATTTTTTTTTTTCGAAAAACAGTCTATTCTCTAATATTTCTCATTTATTAACAATTTCAGGCATTTAATTAACATACAAGTGTATAATTAAAGTAATTATTCCCATCAAAACACCACAAAATGCTGGAAAATAATAACAAAGACTTTTACGCCAGACTGGATTGATTATAAACAAGCAAATATTTATCGTGACATTGTCACAACACAGGCTGCAATTTTTAATTATATTTTTATATAATCATCCAACAATTGCCTAAATATTCGGGCTATAATCGTACTTTTTAATTTATTTAATTTAAAATGTAAGCTCTCCACCTCAAATTAGTAGTGTCTTGCTCCTAAACATAATACTTTTCCTTTGGCAATCAAGTTGTGGCAGGCAATCAAGTTATGGTGTGTAATTATTGCAAAATAATATAACAACTAGGATTTCTCAAGCAGGATCCCAGAATCCCAGCTGTTTTTTTAATCCGGGAAATATCCCAGGAAATCCCGCAAATTTCTTAAAAGTTCACTTTTTCTTATTTTATGTTAAAGTTGAGGAAATTTTGCAAATAGAAAGTATAATTAACCCATAAACTATCAGAATACATTTGTATTTAGTAATTTTAAGCCTTTTTATTAGTTTTTAAATTTTTTGCTTGTTATGACATTTCTCAGATTGTCAATAATCAATATATATTTGTGGCAGAACTCTGAAAATTCTTTACTTGTCAAAACCTGTAATATCTGGAATAATTGTGTCGATGCTGTCTTAATTTTAACTATGCCCAGTAGCTTCAATGACTTCATTTTGCCAGGTTGTGCAAATTGGGCAAGGATAGAAACAAGTATGAAGTCTGCAAGTATGAAGTTTTTCTTCATAAATGTGATTATTAAAGTCAAACAAACTGCCGAATTATCGGGCTATATGCTTGATACCATTATTAAAGCAGCTGAGGTAGACTAATCAAGAAGACTTGAGAGCAATAGAAGTACTGCAACGCATATCAAAAATTAACTAGAAATCTTTGACGCTACGGGTGAAAAAACACGTAACATTTGTCTTCTCTTAAATGCATTAAAGATGATTCCGCCCACATCCATAGAATTAATTGAAAAGTCTTGCTACTGAGAATGCCCTGGAAAAGGCATTCTCAGTAGCAAGACTTTTCAATTAATTGCATTCAATTTGTGGAAACATGCATTAACCTGATGAAGGTTGCTGAAAGTGAATGAAAACATTCATTTTTCGAATAATTACCTCCTGGAATAAGTACTGGTGTTTGTGAATTATTGAATTATTGTGTCACTTCCGGGATCAGTGAAAGAATTACATGGGATGTTTGTAACACATTTATTATGACTTCTAATCCAACTCTTCTTCAGAAGTCACAGTAAATGTACATCTTAGCTGATAGATTATTTAATTTATTAAATGTGAGTCAGCATGAAGTTAAATGTTTAACAGGCTGTATCCAGACTTCCCACCAATCATATATAGCAGTCTGGATGTAGCCTCTTATACTCTTTGGAAACTCTGTGCCGACTGAGGCTCTTCATCACCAAAATGTCTTAATTCCAGGGCTGTGGAGTCGGAGTCGTGGAGTTTTGGCATTTTAGCCGGAGTCAGAGTTGTCAAAAAATCCGCCAACTCCGACTCCCTTTTACTTACCAACTTGTCATGTATATGAAACGAAGTCGGATGGTAAGGAAAAATCAAAGTCGGTAGATTTTTACGCAACTCCACAGCCCTGCTTAATTCATACTCCTTACTCGGAACCAAGCTTTTCTGTAAAAGGAATAAACAAACACTAACATAAGGTCAGACTTATGAGACACTCCATATATATATACTTCTTAGTTAAGAAAATAACTGGCTTAGCAGAAGTTGTGAGTTCAAGCCTTTCCCTGGGCTGGTTCTTTTCTTCCAGAATGATTCTAAATTATTTAATAAATTATTAAAATTATTATTAATTTAGATAAGAGATGGTGCCTAAAATATACCTCTAGTAGCAAATTATTTAGTATTAATAATTAAAAATAGCAGATTTATAGCTCAATTATTTAAGACAATTGTTTAGTTATGTATCAAAGTAAAAATACTTTGCTCGAGTGATTTAACATTTTTCTGATGTCACATTGTTTATTTACATTCATTACACATACTCCTAATAAGTGAAATTATCCAATAGATCAGCACTTACTATAGGCTACTATTAATATTTTATGTATCTATAGAAGAAATTATCTTTAGATCTGTATAAAATCTTCATTATTAGTGTAATAATTAATAATTACTATTACTATTACAATAGTATACATTATCTATTAATTTCTATCAAGATAAAGATAATAAAAATCCTATTCTAAATCCCATATAAAAATTATTAAATCAGTGGATTTTTTTTCTACTGGAAAACAATTTAATATAGGAAATCTAAAAAGAAATTTTTATATCTATTTACATGTATTTTATCAATTTTTTCCATCAATTCTTGCTATATAAAGAGAACAGAGAACCAATTAAAATTCTTATAAAATTAACATCTAGTTTAGTAAAATATACAAGTTTACATTGTTCATATAGTATTAAATTAATATAAATATAAACAATTGGAGAATTGGAGTGACAAAGTAAGTAAATGTCTTATTTTAAATAAAATATTAAATAATCTCTATTATTATAAGCTCATATATTGCAGCATTATTCTAGATTAAATACTAAACATTTAACATTTGGCTCAATAACTAAATCTTCCAATAATTAATATAATTTTAAAAGGAAGGTTACATTCTAGACTTAGCTTTGAACTTAAATTGCAATAAACTTGGATTCTATTGACATTCAACAAATGAGTGTTTTAATCTAATAATTAAGTGCGTATCCAGAATTACCGATCAATTTAACTTTTATAAGTTTAACTAATAATAAATTCATTGATTTAAATGAAAATGGAGGGCATAAACTTGCAAGTTAGAGATGTTTTAAGTGTATATTTTCTCTATTTTGAAATTTAACAAGATATATAATTCAAAAATGTTATAAAATCAATTAAATAATTTTATTACCCTGCAATAAAATTACTACGAAGCTTTTTTTTAATATTTTCCAGCTTTTTCAAGGTCAACATCAGGTAATTCTGTTATGAGGAACTCCTTACAACAAATTACATTCTTTGTACTACAGTATAATTTAGAATCACCCAATGACGACCTTGAAAATGTTAGAGTTTAGAAATGTTTTAATTATCTCTATGCAGTTTTATTGTATAATTTGATTTAAAAGAGTTTTATGTATTGACAGTTAAATACAAAGATCAAAACATCTCATTCTCCAACTTAAAACTGTTTGGAAATATCATTAAAAATGCTTTATTGATATCAATAATCATAATAATTTTTTAATATAGCAGTAAATTTTAGATAAAAGTAAACATTGTTTAATCTATTTTACATTTGTTTTTACTTTTCTGTTGAATTATTCTATTGAAACTGAATGAAATCTGACACTGCATCAAATTCAAGGATAAACATACCACTTATTTATGGTTAATTTGAAATTTTTTTGGCCTACATCTTATGTTAGCCATTATCAGCTAACAATTTACACAGTTAAAATGAAGTGATCTCTATTTTATTGTATTTTATATTTTATTGTATTTAATAGTTTTATGTATCTTTAGCTGATGATGGCCGAAACATCTTGAATAAACCTAATTTCTCCTTAACTAAGCAACATATTTATCACTGAATAAAGGTCATCTGTTATACATTCTTTTAAAACAATTTGAGACGCTTCGGTAACGTATAATAATTTACATAATCCTTACAGAAATGAAATTAATTAATCCTGAAAACACTTGATACTATTAAAAAGTTTTATCTCTTTAAAATAAAACCCATAAATAAATATTTTTCAATAAAATTTTAAACAAAAACAAAAGCATTATTTAATTAAAGTACACATTCAGAGCTGAATTGATCAAATAAAGCAACAAATATTACATGTGTATAAGTAATATGTCTTCAAACTATATATGTTTTAAAAATTTTGTGTTATATAAGTACAAAAAATACAGGGTATCCCATAATTCATGATTTGCATTTTGACTGACTTTTTCAAAAAATGAGATAGATAGCTGTTTTTATTTTCCAGATGTCATGCAGCTAAAGAACAAAGTCAGTGACTGTCAGGCATGCCAGGGAGAGGCAAAGCCATAGCTTATTTTGCAGCAGTGAGTGCAATGTGTTTATTTTCAGTTATGGAAAATAATTTTGGATGTTTGCTGCTGGATGAAATCATTTCGAGACCTGATTCCACCAGAGTTTCTTTTGTATAGTATTTAAAACATAAGGTGTTTAGCCATAGGACAGCGGTCACCAATCGATGGTCCACGGATGGTCTGCAAGAAAATTGTGGTGGTCCGTGCAGAAATATGAACATTGATCTACTTGAGATTACGTGAAGTATTACAAAAGAAATGCAAACTGTCAGTTGCTTTTTCTCACTCATTGGGGGATTTGTTACAATTAAACGAGTGACTATCATATTAATAAAGCAAAATAAAGTAAAATGAAACTTTTATGATCATTATTTCCCAGCAACATGCCTAATGCCTTATCCCATAGATCCAATCCAATCCTTCTCATACCCAAGAACATAAATATTTAAATATTTACTAGTGAAGCTGGCCATTTATAAGCTCTTCCTTGCTTAAAACAATTTAGAATTACTACTAAACAAAAAAAAAAAAAAAGTTAATTGTTCTAAACACACATTTCTGGCTCCATAGTCTTACAGAAATTAATTATTTTTACAAAATCATAACGATAGATTTTTGAAAAAAATTTATAGTTTTTGACAAGGATGAGCACATAAATTAAAGTCAACTCCATTAGTATTTGTGTTCCTGGTGGTATGAAAAGAATTTAAGATGATCCCAAATTTTTTATGATTTTCTTCAAATTATATATGCTTTTGTCTTTAATTTTTATTATCAAACTTCAAAGAAATCACATTATATATAATTTTTTGACTCAAAAGTCACAATTTGAGTAATTTTTTAGGTTTATAACATACATCAAAGTTAAACTCTGCAGTATACACCCAAAGCCACTAAAATTTTGATTTTATATTTTGATTCATGCTAAAAAATAAATTTTTAGTTAAATTGTATAAATGTGCATATAAATTCAGCTTTGAATGAGACAGTTGAAATCTTAGAGCTATACACCATGCATGCAAACAGGATTAAAAAAATCAAGGGAATTCAATGGTCTACATGTGACCCTTTGCAAGATATTGTGGTGAAGTATACAGTCTATATAGTATATAGATATGCTCTAAATGTAATTGATATAATGATATTTCTTATGTTTTATGAGCTTTTAGTCATCTATTTCTCAAAACAGCTGCTTTTCAGCATTGTTTTGAGTAATAGTTACAGATTTTTTCACTTTTAAATTTACCCGACTTTTAAGGATCTCCAAAATTCTAGGCCCACAAGTGACCAAGAGAATAAAACCATCTGGTAATCGACAATAGGTTTGCACCTGGGAAAGAGGCCAGGTGCAAACCTATCACCAACATGGAGTTTTTTAGGTTTTCTTCATATTAGTAACACCTAAATAGGGGCCTAGAACCATAAAACACCTCCCAGGAGGCACTGCCCCTCAGCAGATTGCCCATGTTGCATTGCCATATATGAATAAAACCAAGCAAAATTCTAGATAGGCTGATTTTGGGAGGCAATATCTTATGAAGTGTCACACTTAGCCCATCGGTTCCTTTGACTTTTTTACACCTACGAGCACAGCCTATAGCTCTGACAGGGCCCAGACCAAATCAGAGTTGCATTTTTAACCAAGTTGGGGGTTTCATGGACAAGAATCATCTTAATTATTATCCAGTAATCAAGGTTTATAACTTTAATTCACTCATTCATTCACTTTTGATCATTTTTCTTTATTCAGAAGATTTACGAGAGAATTTTTACCCTGTGAATTACAAAAAATTGATGTTTTTTTCAATATTATTTTGGAATTTTGATGGTAAAAGTTACCTTTAGGTAGTCTTTTTACATACAATTACATTAATAAATGACCTAAAGTTAACTTTTACCAAGTTACATTTGTAAATGCTCCATACACTAACATACCAGTAAGGGTTCATCAGATAAGAGGACATTACAATATATAACAGCAAAAAACTACATAATCAGCCCTTTATGATCAGTTTTTTTTGCATAAGCAAAAAATATTATATTATAAATAATAACCGATGAAAATAATTTACCATAATGAAAATTACCGACGTCGGGATCCCAAAAATACACAACTTTCTTTCTCGACATGGTCGAGCTCTTCTTAGTTAATTTCTACATCTAATCAATTACAAACACGAGGAAGCCATGACAGGTTCAAAACCGGATATTCCGGTCACGTGATCACAATTAAGAAATCTTTATCTTTGGGGAATTTTTTAACTTTTTCTTTTTATTTAAAATTACTTTTTATTAATAAAATTTTAATTATAAATAACTTTAATGCTGTTTACTTTATTACTTATTTTTTTCACGCTTTACAAATGTTGATCTATCGATTACAATTTTTTTAAAATATTTACCGATTATTAGTTATATTATTTCTAAATTCGTCAGCTGAAATAATTTTTCAGTTTAATTTTCTGCTTTACTAAATTTTTAAATTTAAATTTTAAGATATTTAAATCATAAAAAATTTCCCTAAAAATAATTTTACAGAAAATGTATTTTTTTTGTGTAAATCAGTTAATCTTGCTCCAGTATAAATATTAATTACGCAAGTAATTTCCTCTTGCACGTATTATTAATAATAATTTTTAACGAATATTTTAAAAATAAATTTAAAAAACTTTTTAATTTAATCTCCCTAAAAATTTCCCTAAATAATTTAATGAAATTATTTAGAGAAATTTTCGTAGCGAATTAAAAATTCCGGAAAAATCTTCTCTTTTTTGTACATTTTATTTTATTTTATTTTTTAAAAACTAAATTCTAATAATTTTTCGTTAAAACATTGGCCAATGTTTGTTATCAAATTATTATTGTTTTCTTGAAAACATTCAATATTTTTTAAAATTTAGTTATCATTTACAGCATTGGAAATAACGTTGTATTTTGAATTAACTGTCCTATTAATCGGGATTATTAATTTATTTCTCTTTTTCAAAATATTATTTATTAATCACGAATTAAATTAACTTAATTAATTTAAAAATATGTTATTGAGCGCCACCCAACTCAGATCTCAAACGTCAAATGAACCTAGCGCCATTTTTAATTACTGAGTAAACACCAAGTAAGCCTCACATCATAAAACAAAGACCACAGAAACAACTTCTTTGTATAGATTCATTAAAATATATTCATACACAATATATTTCTATAAAAATCTTAACAATTATAAAAGCAATAATATAACAATTATACTGTACTTCATAATAATTGTTTGTTAGGGTATTGCGACACGTGGACGATGTGCCAAAGGGGATGCTTTCCGGGAAGACTTTCTATAAAAAAACTGGCCCCTATTTAGGTGTTACAAACGTGAAAAGAAAACCTGAAAAACTCTACATGGTTAGCTCGCGTAACCACGACCAAATTGTCCCGAACCAGTGGTTTTTATTGACTCGGCCACTGGCAAACTCATTTCATAATAATGCGTTAATAAAATATCAACCTTTTGTGGATTTTTTTCTTTTAACTCTTTCCTCCCGGGCAGTAAGAGGGCGTCTTTTAGCAAACCCATCACGGGTTCGGTCATGCCTATAATGGAGCGGCCGGGCGGCGAGAGACAGGGCCCCGACATATCCGGATGTACCATCCCCCAAAAAATTCCTGGAGATTTTTCGACTTGTTCGGTTTCTATTCCAGGTCCCCAAGAGCGGTAGGCTGCTACCTGACCACTCGGCCATCCGTCCTCCGATCTTTTGTAGCTGTAGATTGCGGGTTTCAGTTCAGGACGAAACCTTATAGCGTTTCATTAGTAGTTTGATCGGGATATTTCGGATTTCGTTCCTTTATTTCTACCTTCGTTGTGAGCCTAGCTGAGTTCATGTATAAGAATAATGAAAATTGGAAAAATCGTATGTTATCAAGGATGTGCTAAACAACGTTGTACACAACATGCTAACGTAGTAAGTATTTTCAAATTTGTGCATTGCTTATAAACATAAGCAAATTTGATTAAGATTTGTATTAATAAATTGCATGATATGAAATATTTGCACAACTTTTGTATTTAATATACGGTAACTAATTTTTTCCAAATACTCATATTTTAAATTTATTTCAATGTCTTGCCAGTATAGTTATCAAGTTAGAATTTAATACAGGATGATCCAAAAGTCGCCAAATATAAAAAAGTGCTCTATTTGAGCAAAATTTACCTTTATTTACAAATCATTCTATACGTGTTGACCATTTATGATATTACTTGCATAACACCAGATATACTGATACGCAGTGGTGATATTTAGCGGGTTCGCACAGTTTCGGCCGAACCCGTTGTTAACATTTTCAAAGTTTTCCGAACCTTGTTAAACACACGTAACATTTCTCAGTGGTTTTGTTTCTTTTAAAAAATATATTAAAATATACGTATTATAATTGAGGTACACTTACTCAGCAGTATGTAAATAAAAAAAAACAAATTAAGGTGTTGTGTTTTTTGATACACGTATTATACAGTAATACCCCGAACTTACGCGATAGGTGGGACTGAGCGATAACCGCATAAGTCGAATTNGCGCAAGTCGAATTCGCATAAGTTGGGGTATAATTTCCCAATTTGTGTAAAATCCAAGTCGGATGTATGTAAGCTAATAAGTGTTCTCGTTAGTCTTATCTCGTCTTTTGATTCGTTTACGGTTACAAGAAATCACCACATAGAGTCTCTCGAGTCTCCGTAGATATAACAAACACAGAAATAAATAACACAAAATAAATTGTAGCTATGTGTCGATTCCGCGCGACACGTCCGAACATGTAAGCTGTACAATAGTGTGGGGAGAGTGAGTAATCAAGAGTTGCATGGCGCTCAAACAAAAGACCAATCGACGAGATTTGAAAATCGCGTAACTCAGGGTTCGCGTAAGTTGGGGTAGCGTAAGGAGTAGCGTAAGTCGAGGTATTACTGTACTCTGTAACACTACTAAACTAGAGCCTTATACCCCGTTCGCCTTGGTGCAGCCTCCCTCGATCGTTTCAATCTCGACTGAAACAAGGTTCAATCGCGATCGACTCTAGAGAGTTCTTGAAACTAGATCCAGTCATAAGAGAGATCCCATAATCCCACGCGCGCCAGAAAATACAAGATGGCTGCGGAACACGTGTCGGGCTATCGACAGCAAAATAAAAAAAAAAAGATATTGTATTTCGAGAGACGATGACATGTGTCTATTATTAGATATATCGCAAGAAGAAGTATTGTATTTATTTCTAACCAAAACTTCCATTTTGTTTGTCGGTGTTCGTGACTTACCGCGTAGTTAAGTCAGTTTTATCATCGCGTGTAATATATATCTTTTTTTATTTATATGGGTATCTTAAGGTCAGTTTTTGCCTAATGTTGCTAATGCACCATTTGAGCGAAAAAAAAATTGTTAAGGAAAAATTTTCTATTAGCGAACCCTTTGTTAAATATTTCGAATATCACCACTGCTGATACGTGTTCCACACGATATCAACCGGATATCAAGATATCCTCTGTTATGAAAGTACTGTACAGTAATTGCATTTCCGTATGTATGGAGACTTTTGGAACATCCTTAGTACGTTCTAATAGTTCTTGGAATGCATTACTAGTATTAAATTAAAGATAATTTTTAAACATTTGTATATATTGGGTGAATGAGAGTACTCCTATTCAACTCTATCCAGAGAAATATTTAGCGGCATAAATGAGAAAGGACTTGGTATGATATGATTTCAAGATATGAGGAAGATATTTTCTATAAAATTTCGTATTAAAACTCGTTACTATGGTACTTTGGCAAGCAACAATTATTTTATTTGTACATTCAAGACCTTCGTGCTATACAGAGATCTTAGCGATGTAGGGACACTGCTCAAAGTGATCCTCGGGACCGGTGCTACCGCATGGGCAAACTGGGCATTTAGCCAAAGGCGACAAATTTTCACAACTTTTTCGCCTTTGAACCCATAATGGACTTGCAAAAAAAAGGCCCTCTTAATGTCCACAGGGCGGAAAGAGTTTAAAAAACAATTTTTTCCGTTTTATGTCGGAATTCACCTACATAAAGGACGTCAAATGCATGTCTTGTCCTTCAAAGTTCGAACCACCAGGCCCACCAGTGGCCAAGCAGTCTTCGTACCCTAAACACTGGGAGTTCGGTCGTGGATTCGCGCCTCGTTCGGACCTGCTGGCCAAGTGGAGTTTTCCGGGTTTACTCCACATCTGTAACGCCCAAATAGTGGCCGGTTTCCCTTAAAAAACCTCCCAGAAAGCATCCGCCTAGGCAGATCGCCCAAGTGTTGCGTTGCCAGTACTTAACAAACAAACAATCGGACCACCGGGCGGCCCTAGAGTTTATGCTGCCCTGGTGGTTCGCATTTTGAAGGTGTTAAAAACCCGAAAGCATTAAACAGCGTGTTCGACGAGTGACCGTAATTGATCTTCTGTAATGTTTCTCATAAGTAGTGTGATACTGTCTTTCAAGGAAGCAAAATTTGTGATAAACTGCACTTTCTAAGATTGCCCTCAAATAAAACTTCTTTTTCGTTGCTTGAAGCGCCAAAAGTGCTATAGTGGCGAATTTCGGTATTCTTTGTTTTATTTTTAATTAAGGAAATATCTTCCGCAGACCCTGAAATGTCATGATACCAAATTTGGTTGCATTTGGACTGCTAAATATCTCTGTAAACAGCGTCGAATAAGAGTACTTTAATTAGGATTATCCAGTTTTTCATTTTTGTTCCACTCTGTAGGCACTGATAGATATCCATAGTGTATTCGGCCAGGCCGACATAACAGCAATCGTATGGTAAGAGACAGGGTCCGAGGTATCCGAAGCAGACTGCCCATAAAAAATTCCTGAGGTTACTCGCCCAGATTCGATTCCGGGATGTACCATCCCCCAAAAAATTCCTGGAGATTNGGTAATTTATAAATTGATGGTAAATATCTTTGTTATGGAGTAGTAAATGGTAATGCAATTTTTGATTAGTTGAATAAAGTCATCTATTAAGAATTTTTGTAATTTTGAAGATTAGGAAATTTTCAGAGAAAAAAAATTTGCAAATTTGAAAACAGATTTGATGATTTGCTTCTCTTCTTTTCATTTGCTTGGATCTTCTCCATATCCTAACTCTTTTGGATCTACTTCTCTTTGTATATCTTTCCATATTTTATTTTTGTTTTTCAATTTTC